TACATTCCACCATCAGATATGCAAAAAGAGTCTCAAATAGATGTTCTTCAGTCAGATGATGTGGATTCTTACCCTGACAGTCTAAAAAAAGAAATAAAACATCCAATGAACAGCCTAATATCTAAAGATTATTTACAAGACCCTGAAAAGCCAGAATGGAACAATATAGACAATATTAACAGGTACCAGGAACGCTATGAAAGACCAATGGATTATTATGAAGGTGGAACACTGGGAATGAAATATATGGGTGGTGAATGTTATGATGACAATGAAGAAGACTTTGTTTCTCACATAGATGGCTCGGTAATATCCCGGAGGGAGTGGTATGTGTAGTAACCACTGAAAAGTAAACTTGTACCTACAGTTCACTTCATTGGCTGGTCACTTTTTGATTGTTTATACTTAACACGTAAGGAGGAATAAACTTTTTGAAGTTTTCTTTTTTTTTCTTTTTTTTTTCCTCCCCCAAGCTTTTTATATTGTGACTTGACAAATTGAAATGTTGAATCTGGGAAAATGTATTTGAGCTGCTTCAAACTTTTTTATTATTTTTTCTCCCAATGCTATACTACTGTTAAAAGATTTGAATTTTAATGCAGAGTGCTTATTTTGATCTATGTCAGAGGTAACAAAGGCTAAATTAAAGTTACCATCCAGACTTGATTAAGAATAAAAAGTGACTTTCTTGGCTTTCTGATTGAAAAAGTTTACCTAAGACAGTGGTCAAGTATATCTTTTGAGGCATTTAATTTGCAGATCTAGTAATGCAGTACAATGCGTGAATGCAGAACACTAACTGAATTACTTAAATGTAGACACCATCCATGACAAATCTAATGCTTCTGTATAGCAACTTCTTTACCAGTTAAAATGAGTTTGAGCAGAATTAAAGCTTTATTTCTAGGTTTTCTGCACAAAAATGAATACCTCTTACCATTTTAATGAGCCTTCATGTAACCGTGTACTTAAGTCATTGCACTGAAAATAACTTATCTATAAACAAGACTTTGACGAGTAACTGTGTAAACAGGTCAAAGGCTTGTCTTTTGAGGCATATGAAAAAATATTTTTATAGCTGATTTTTAAAAGCTTCTGCTAGAGTGTGTGTGTGTGTATATATGCATATAAGTGAGGTATTTTGTTAGGCCTGTATTTAACAGGATGTCCAATCGCATCACTGAATACAAGACTCTTTTGTGCAAGTACACATAATAGTTTTAAAGCCCATTTATAAGGCTTTGTGGAAATCCTGCCTTTGAGACTGAAAGCTGGAAAACTGAACACATCTAGGGGAAAAAAAATGGATTTCTAAGTTGGAGAAGCAAGCAAGCTTGCATATTTTCCAGGATGCCAATAACACATGAAGCCTGTGAAGAGGTGTTAAGTTTGCTAGAGACTTTCTGACCTGTAGTTAAAATGGCAATTTTACACTACTACTGTATGACAGGTTTTAAAAGTTACATTGAGAATTAAAGGTAAATGTTTATAAGTTACACTGTGGATGAAAGGACTTCAGGTAACCAGAAGTTGGAACCTCAGGTTAGTAGGAGGGAAGCAGACAGTGCATTGGCACTTCGTGCAATAAAAACCTGCTCTGCAACTGCAGAATACAGGGAACAGAAGTTTAGGTACACTCTGCACTCTGTGCCACAGTTGAATTTTTCCCTGTAACTAGCTGCTCCTTTAACAGTAAGTGCTTGTTCTTTAAAAGGGCATCGTATGTAGGACATCTACTATGGGACCTGAAGTAGTTCTACTGTCCTGGGCAGGTTCACCAAACTAATGCTGCTGATTACAGGGAGGCAAATTGAAATGAAGTAACTCTAGATGAATTACAGAACAATGATAAATTCAAAATTAGAAAGATGACTTTTTTTGAAGTGCCATTTTTAAATGTCTAGCTGGGAAAATGAAGATTATAAGGTTATTAGCTTTAGAAACCTGCAAATGGAAAACTGCCTGTTATATTAAATGTAATGGCCTCCATAATTATGGCTACTTCATGAGCTTTCATGATGGAAGTTCTTTTCTGTTCTCATAGTATTTAGAAGCTTACAGTATTTAAGAGCTTGACAAAGATAGCTGTATTGAGTGTCGTAGACAATACACTGTGATCACACACAGCTGCATATCTTAAAGAAAAAGAGTAAGACAACCGCTTTATTTGGGAGTCAAGTAGGATGGCTTCCCTCAACAGCTAAAATTCATATTTTTATTAACTGAGCACTGTTATGTGGTGGACAGAAGTCTCAAGTACAATAGCAAATACTATTCTGTGTATTAGTAGTTTGAGTGCAAATTCAAAGAAAGGAGTTGAGGTCCTAGTAGGAAGTTCTGATCCAAATTATTTCTGAAGTAAAGGGATCATACCTCTTAAACAAAATAAAAAACCTTGATATATCATCTTTAAAAGATGGTTTTACTTCAAAATAAACATAACCATAAACCTGTTCTCCACATGGGATATCTTGCTTGTGTCTCTGTGGATTTTGAGGTTTTTTTTTCTTTTGTTAAAATATTTAACTATTGATTGAAAAGTTGAAATGTTTCGGAGTTGAAGTTGGTAATAGGATAGGTCTTACAGTATTGCAATGTTTTGTACATTATATCTGCTGTAAAAAAAAAAAAAATTGATTGTAAGTACAAATGGCTGTTGTGTGAATAAACTTTTGTTATGTTCTTCAGCCTAGGTAGTGTTCAAAACTGTTTGAAAGATATATTTGCAAAAGTCAAGGGGAGCAGCTGTAATCAAACCAAGTTGGAACCAAGTTGGATAAGAGGGTAGAAGAAATGAAAACTTTATTTTAGTATTTCTTCATAGACCGTAGGCTTACAAAACAGCTGGCTTTAGGAACAGTTTTTAAAAGTGTAAACAACTGAGAATGCTGACTAGGGATAGGTGCTGTCTAAATAATTATACCTTAAGCACAGCTAATAAATATTTAGGATTCAGATGCTTGGGGAAAAATAAGTTTTTTTTTTTTTTTTTTTTTTAAAGATTGGGTAGCTTTGTTTTAACCCTATTTGTTGGAGTAAAACCATTCCCATTTATTTATGACCAACTGATCACAAATGGTGGTGATATCATATCTCTGGTGTTTTCTGTCTTGTTCAGCTTGGCAAGATGGTCCGAGTTTCTGATCACTTCTCTAGTGTTAGACTAGCTTAATTTTTGTACCTACTTTTGCTAAGGCAATTCAAAGGCAAAGCAAGTCAGCACTGTGATAATTGCAGGCAGCAGTTCCTGGGTGTTGCTACTCTTGGTGCAAGAGCATCTGTGTTTCCTGATGAGGGAAGTGAGTGGCCATTGCCATATCAGGCAAAGCCATGTTCAATGGCAAGACTTTTATTGAACTTACACTTGAAGGTGTTTTAGCCTTTACTGTAAGGCTTACTAGACAAGACACACTAAGGTCTATGAAACCATAGTATGCTATAAAACCTACAGGCAAGCAACTCTTCTAGTGAAGCTGCGCTCACAAGACTAGTTGAATTCTGGACCTAACACTTCTCCGTTTCCTGCAACAAACTGACTTTTAACAAGATAGGGTCCAGCGTAAGCTAAGCTTAAGCCAATTCATGTGCCCGAACTTATGAGTGAAGGCGAACTTTGGTGGGTAGTGTCATAACAGCAAATGAAGACTGTGTCAGGAAAGCTGCTTCCATCAGATATCCTAAAATAGAACATTGATTGCTTAAGATGATGGGTTACATCAATCTTGCACAGTAACTTAGCTTGCTACCCTTTTGCTTGTTTTGTTAACCTGTGGCTTTATACCTTAATATTAATAGAAGTTAGGGAGAAAAACAAAAACACACTTGTGATTGATATTAGTTCTATGTTTTGTTATAGTAATAGAGGGTATAGCTGAAAAAGCTCCTGAAATTTCTTCTGGTAAGAGCCTGAATGGAAGGAGCTTGTGTGGTGTTTGGAGGAACACACATTAGCTTTTCCTGAAGTAAAAAGAGAAAAATACACTGCATTAAAAATCTATTACCACATATAGAGCTGTGTTAACTTTGAGCTCCTTTTGCTATTACTTTCTTGATTGAAGTAGTTCCATGTTTTTGCATACTTGCAGGTAACAGTTTCATTAAAGCCGGTGTGAACTGGTTCAGTGGTGTGATTTTTTGATAAGCCTGGTGATGCGTGGATAGCTCTAAAGTGAATATAACACTCAGACTGATGATATTGAATTAGAGCTTGCTAGCAAGTTGCCAACTTAGTCTTCTGAAAGATTTAAAATGATTACTTAATTTCTAGCTTAGTAGATGGGTGACCTTTAAAGATTGACAAATGTTTTAATTCAGTATGAGAGTTGTTAAACATAGGGATTGACAATAATGAGGTTAAGCAAAAATAATAATAATCTCTTCTTTCCCCCTAAAGTGGAAGTAAATTGCTAGATGGAGGGCTGTAATTGTAAAAGTTTATTTGTAAAAATGACTGTTTCTAATAACAACTTTAAGTCCTGGAGATGACAGATGGTCTTAGGGGCTGCTTTGGTAAGTTTAAACCGAGCATTAGTGGGTTTGCATGTTTGTTGCTTGTAGCAGTATAACGTTGTCTTTAATTCTGAGTTTCAGTTTTCCTTTTCTGGCAGACTTTGGTGGCTTTAAAGACTGCAAATAGAGCTTAGTCGTTTATGTTTTTGAGTTAACAGCTAGCTCGCTTGTGTAAGTGCAAAGCATGTGTTATCATATCTTGCTTTGAAATTGAAAATAAAAGCATGCAGCTTTGTTTTTTTTTTTTTGGTAATAGTCAAGGAGATTCTTTAAATGGCATTAATTATTCCTAAACCTTTTCTTTTAGTTCAATCAAATTTTGAGTTGGGCGGCTGAAATCAAGACCGCAAAAGCAATAGTGCAGAAAGAGGGCTCCTACCTGGAGATACAAGGAAGAAACATTTCTCAGAGAACCACTGAAATAGCTTCTATAAGTACCGAAAATGTGTAAACTTTTTAAAAAAGGTGTAATCTATGCTATCACATTACAGATGTGCCATATAAGCAGACATCCTCTGTTGCTGTAGCAGGGGCTGTGATTGGAGCAGTCCTTGCTCTTTTTATCATTACCATCTTTGTGACAGTGCTGCTGACTCCACGGAAGAAAAGGCCATCGTATCTTGACAAAGTGTAAGTATATGTTGGATTTCTTAATTGGAAGCCGTATGCAAAAGAATGCGTTCGTACTTTCCCCATAAGTGTATTAAGTGATTGAGGTTTCTGTAGAAACTGTTCAGCTGCCATGGTTTCAGGGCAGCATTTTCAGGGCAGACAAATGTCAAATCACATGTTGCTGAAAAGAAATGAGGAAGCCAAACATGACTTGAAGCATATATGTCTTAGTTCTTTCAAAGAAGGCTTAGGAAAAAAAAAAAAACACTTGCACTTTCAACTGGAGAGTGGGAGGATAGGTCAGTCTTAACTGTTGCCACAAATAGTAAAGACTGCTAATATAACTGGAGGCCTGATGTAAATTAAACTTACTAGTTAATGTTAGAGTATTTATTTCATGTTCTATTGCTAATTGAAAAGCATTTGGTCCTGATTGTGAGCTTTGAAAGATCTGGCTTCCTTTTTTTTTTTTTTTTTTTTTTTTTTTTTTTGAAAGAAGAAGAACTATCTATCCAATTGATTTTGTAAACGTGGCATGTTATACTTTGTTCTTTTTTTGATACAGGATTGATCTTCCACCCACTCACAAACCATCCTCTTCATGTGAGGATAGAGTGTTCTCTGTACCACAGAAAGAAGCTATGCTGCAGGTGAGTGAGTAGTTAAACTTTGAAGAAATGTTAAATACTCTCATCTGTCTTTTTTAACATTAATTCAGTCTCTTTATTATTATAATTATTATTATTATTACTATTTTCTGGTAATGTACAGAGCCGTTCTGTTGTTTATTCACGGCCAAAAGGTTTCCTTACCTTTGGGGTATCTGAATCTTATGTTTTTAATGTGTTGTTAACATGTTTCTGAGAGATAGGGAGCTGGCAGATAAATCCTTTTTGGGTCTCTAATAGTGTGTAACAGACTCTGCTGATCTTGAACTGAAGAAGCTACAGGTGTATATTCTCTAATCACCTTAGGATTTAATGGTTCTCTGAAAGGCTTTTAATATTTGAAGCAAATAAATTTGATAAACTGCATCACTGACTTTGGCAGCATGATCTTAGCTAATGAGCTTCTGTGACCAAGAATAACACTGCCTTTTTTTAAGTAACTGAGGTCTGGGTGATGGGGATATATCTGAATTTTGGCTTTTTTTGTTTTTGTTACTTTTATGTGGATAACACATGGAACTATTTTGACTGAGCGAAGATCACTAAATCTCTCTTAAATGCCCATAGTTACGTGACTTTCAATTTGTATCTCTTTTCTTGAGTTAAAATTCATCAACTCTGTACCAGTTCTGTGACAAGTACTCACAGGCCAGCGGTGCTTTTGTTTCAATTCAACAAATAGCTTGATGTGACCTGAGTTAGGTGGTATAAACAAGGGATTGGCTTGTGCTTTATTCTGTGTGTTGAAATTGCCCACCAGCATGTAGTGTTTGTGTGGTTGTCATCCAAACCTGCTAGATCAGAGAGCTGACACACTGAGAAACTTACTTTTGCTTTTTCATTTTCCAAAATAAGTGGAGAGCAAGGGGCAGGAGAACTGATTTTTCTTATCTGGAATGTGGGTTTGCAGTGGATTGGGCTGCTTGTGGAAGTACAGATGAGTTACGTGATAGAGTTAATTCAAAATGATTCTTTGTAGTAGGCGACACAAAAGTGCCTATTACAAGAGACGACTTGAGTTAACTGTTGTTTATTACATTTCTTATAACAAACCAGGCTGTTTATAAAGACTATATAGATTCTGACTGTTTCCCTTCTGTGGAGCCTTGTAAATCTGAGAAGTGGAGCTGGAGGATGATGGGTCTGCTAATGGTATTAAAATAAATGAGGGAAACTGTACATGTGTCATAATACTGGATAGCAAATGCTTTTCATGTACACTGCATTTATGTGCTAATGTTAAATAATGTGCATGTACATAAAGTATGCTGTAAGGAGTATTCATCACCATAATATCTCTGTGTTGAATTTGTGGAAACCAATTGGGGTTTTTTTGATCACTTCATAACTGCGAAGAACCGGTTCACTTATGGCCTCAGAGTGGTGCAGAAGTCCAAAACAAAGGAATATTAAACAAAGAAAAGAGTGTCACTGTGAATAGTTCTGCCACTTTCAGTTTTATTTGCAAGGAAGACTTAAGTTCCTTTTTATTTGCTTTTTTCCTTTTTAACTAAAGACCTTTTTTTTTTTTTTTTTTCCCTCCTACTGGTCATGTAAATACTGTCTTAAAGCTACTTTTTGCGTCAAAAGTAGTTAAGAGCAGTGTTTTTTCTGAGCAGCCAGAAAGCTGTATCCTTGGTGACAGAGGGATGTCAACTTGGCAGTTCAGTTTTGAGGTAAATCAGCAAGAATTGCAATGGAAAAATTTCAGTAGCCTGAGAAAGAATTAATCTTGTTCTATAGTATTAATTAATAGACTAGGGGAGAAGGCACTAATTCAGGCAATCTCATGAATCATTTAGAGTTAGACCCACTTTATTCAAAGTGCTGACTTCTGTGCTTGCTGGAAAATATGACTGAGTACTATTTTGCATTGTGAAGGAATGGAGTTACTCATAGCTTGACTGATGCTACCACAGGAAGGGGAGTGGGGAGCGAACAGCAAAGTGGGGTGTGTGGTTTTTTGTGATCTGGAGGTTATTTTGTTTTTTAAGGATGCAATGCGCATTGCGAGCTCACAAAACATTGAGGAATCAATTGGGTTTTTCATAGCAATGGAAAAAAAATGGAGA